TCCTCTTTCCCGGCTCCCGGGGCCCGGCGGTCCCGGGGGAGACCCGGCGGCGCAGCCCCACCCCGGCCGGCGCGGCTCACTCCCACGCCCCCGCCTCGCCGGGGAGGACAGACTGAGTCAGCTGGGACGCCGGGCGCTGTAGGTAGGGGCTCCGGCGGCGGTGGGCGCAGGTGCCGCGGGGGACAGCCGAGGAGATGGGAGCACGAGGGGAACGGCCTGGGGCGGGGGAGCGCCCTGCCTGCCTCCTCCCTTCCCCCACTGACGCGGCGTGTCCCTTTTTAGAGAATTTTTTCCTTCTTGCTTATTCCGATGCGGGTGGGGCTGAGACAGAGAGGGAGTTCTCCATTTCGCTGGCTCCTGCCCAGGCCCCTGGCAGCCTCCTGCCCCTAAATCTCTTCACCCCCTCCCCAGCACCTATAGTCGCGTAAACAACTCCCTTTCTTTCTCCAGCTGTAGGTTCCGCGGATCCCCGGAGGGCAGCTCCTTCGATCTCAGGAGACCGGTGGGGTTAGGGGTTGGGGAAAAGAGAGGGGGCGTCCCAGAGCCCCAGGTCGCCGTCCGTTCCCTCACCCTCGGTCTCTCCCTCCCCCGCCCCAGTGCAGACGGCCCCAGGGGCCCTGGGTATTTTTAGCGTTGTGACCTGGGCGGCAGCTCTAAGAGCCTTTCCCAAGAATCAGCGTCAGCGCCTCGCTCCTCTGCGGCCAGACCAAGGCCACACGGTCTTCCCATACTTCCTTGACCCTGCCTTGCCCACTCGGGTTTGGGTCTCTACCGGCCTGCCTCAGCCCCCGCGGAGCTGGCCAGGCTCTGGGATACGATGAGTCCAGAAGAGGTGGGGAAGGCAGTCTGTAGAGGATGCCAGTCTGGTCCTCAAGCTAGAAACTCCTGTCTCTGGTGATGGGCTCAGATCAGAATGTCAGGAATGAGACTGAGTAAATGGGAGTGAATGCAGATGCCTGGGCTGGCCCAGAGCTCTGGTGTTCTGGAAAGCTCTCAGCCCTGGGGGTCAGGAGGCCTGGTCTGAATTGGACTCAGGATCCACCTTCCAATTGCTTACTCACTAGTTGGGAGATGTGTCAGAGGAGGGGAACAAGTAAAAAGCTGCTGGAGTTCACAGAAAAGATGGCCATCCCCTAAATAGCTCACCGTCACAAGCAGTGCTTTGTATTGAGGCAGGTAGGACTATTACGCCATTTTCAGATGGGGAGACTGAACTAGAAAGATTTCTGTAGGGCAGATCTAGGTATGGAGGTCAGGTTTGTGACTTCAGAGCAAGGGTTTGGAGTGATGGTGGTAATGGGGTGTGTGTGTGTATGTGTGTGTGTGCGCGCGTTTGCATGCGTGCACGTGCTTAAAGAGGGTAGAGGAGGCGTTACTTTAGCTTTTGTCTGGGTTTTGAAGGATGGGCAAGAACCAGAGTTGCAGCACTGGAGGAAATGGACCCAACACGCCAAGATCCCTATCCTGTTCTCCTCCCTGGCCTTCAGAGGGGAGCCAGGTCTATTAAGTAGAGAAAGTGCCTCCTCCATTTGTGCTGGACCAGCCCTTCCAATCCTTCTCAGAAGGGAATGATACTGAGAGACTTGGTCATTGGCTGCGTTCCCTGAATACAGAGGATCTCTTTTGCTGTGCCTGGAACTGGCATCCCCTTTGTGGTGTTAGGGCCAGCCCTGCCTCTGCATGAGACTTGAAGTTTGTGGGATGAACTTGGTTTCAGGGAAGCGGAAAGAGGTAACCAAGGACAGAAGTGCCTAGGCTGGAATTAGAGGTCCCGCTGCTGGGATGCTGGTTGCAGTGGAGCTCCCCAAGCCCTGGCCCCACTGTCTTCTCTGTCAAGTTCACAGCTGTACTTGTCTTGCTCCTCCAAACTCCAGCTGTAATGGACCCAAATCCTCGGGCAGCCCTGGAGCGCCAGCAGCTCCGCCTTCGGGAGCGGCAGAAATTCTTTGAAGACATTTTACAGCCAGAGACAGAGTTTGTCTTCCCTCTGTCCCACCTGCATCTTGAGTCACAGAGACGTAAGTTCCAAGTCCTGAGGATAGGGACTGGGGTGGGGTAGGGAGGATGTCTTGTGGGTACCGAATCTTGGGGAACCCCTCCCCTTTTGTTTTCTTGGCCCTCTAAACTTCTGTCTCAAGACCTCACAGGTATCTCTGTCAGCCTCTGTTGATAGGTATCTCTGACTGTGTCTATTGGCTCCAGCCTTAGTCCTCCTGATTTGCCCCCTTCTTAATCAACAGCCCCCATAGGTAGTATCTCATCTATGGAAGTGAATGTGGACACGCTGGAGCAAGTAGAACTTATTGACCTTGGGGATCAGGATGGAGCAGATGTGTTCTTGCCTTGCGAAGATCCTCCACCAACCCCCCAGACATCTGGTATGTCCCTCTGCTTTGGGGACTTGGGCAACAGTCAGCCAGAGCCAGATATTAGGGCTCTGAAGTAAGGCTGTAAAGCCAGGCTGGGGAAGTATACAAGTGGGGGCTGGAAGTGAGTGTTTCCACCAATGAAACCACTGTCTGTTCTGATTTTAGGGAAGTTAACCCTGAGGGGAACTGGGTTGTAGATCCCCAATCCAAAATTCTAGGAATGGCCAATCTTCTCAGACTTTGTTAATTTTACATTTGTTAAAATAATGTAATTAATTACTGTAATTAAAATAATGTAAAAATCTAATTTTTTCATTAGACAAGTTAAGCAATATTAGTTATCATAATAATATTAACATTTATTGAACACTTTACTAGGTTCCTAATGCTGTGCTAAAGTACTTAACATATGTTATCTCAGTCCTTACAATGTCCTATCAGGTAGTATTATCCCCATTTTATAAAGAAGGAAATTAGGCTTAGAGAAGTTAAGTCACATAGCCAGGAAGTGAAAAAGCTGGGATTCAAACCTGGTCTGCCTGACTTCAAAGCCCATACACTTAAATCGTATGATAGATATTATCTTATTTAACACTGCTGCTATTTATTGGTGGCCTACTATGCCAGACATTTTATAAGCATTCTTAGATTTTATCCTCAAAACCTTTCAGGAATGTAGGTATCCCTTTTTTTGTTACAGAGGAAGAGCAGAGTCCTTGAAAGGGAAAGTAGCCCAAAGCTACTCAATAGCAAGTAAATGATGTAGGTATAACTTGAATTCTTGCACTGATTGACCAGACTCAAGAGCCCACACATGGTGTAGTGACATGGAAAGACTTGGGAGCCAAGAGATGGAGGTCTTAATCCTGGCTCTTTGCTGGACTGATGAAGTGACTTTGGACAAGTCCCTGACCCTCTCTGGGCTTCAATTACTCCTGGCCAGATAATCTCTAAGTGTCCTCTGAAGCCCTATTTGTGGCCCTGACCAGCTCCTCTCTCTGGGCAGGGGTGGATGACTATCCAGAGGATCTGAGCCTGCCAGTGCCCACGTCAGACAGGACCACGTCCAGGACCTCCTCCTCGTCCTCTGACTCTTCCACCAACCTGCACAGCCCAAATCCAAGTGATGATGGAGCAGATACGCCCTTGGCACAGTCCGATGAGGAGGAGGATGGGGGTGATGGAGGGGCAGAGCCTGAAGCCTGCAGCTAGCAGTGGGCCCCTACCTACAGACTGACCAAGCTGGCTATTCACCATGTGATATCCTAGGCCCAGCCAGAGCCCTCTGGGAGAAGACCAGACTCTTTACTTGCAGTAGGCACCAGAGAGAAGGAAGGATGGCGGCGTGGTGTATCTCTCCCAGAATTAACCCTCTCCTGCTTTACTACTAACCTTTTCCTGCTGCAACCCTCCCACCAGTTTTTGGCTTACTTCTGAGGTAGGACTTGCAAGTGAGGAGATGGAAGATGAGGTAGGACAAGATGCCACTGCTTTTCTTAGCACTCCTTCTTCTCCCTAACCATCCTGTAGTCTTCAAATAGAGTCTCCCAAATCGGTGTCTCTAAATGGACGTGACTCCTTAGCACTCCAAGTGAGCCATCCTGCCTCCTTTACATCCTTTTTGGAACAGGGCATGGTATAAATAATAAATAAATAATAATATACCAACCATCCCACTTCATTTTTCATATCACAGATATATCAGACCCACTGTATGTCTTTAGCTGTCTAACCAACACCATATTCCCATCATTCATTTACTCCATTTATTCAAGAAATATTTATTGAACACCTGTGCTAGGCATACGGAATACGCTTTTGAGCAAGACAGGCTGTTTCCCTTCTTTATGGACTTTACTATCTATGGAGGAAAAAATCAATTATCACTTCACAGTGTAATAAGCAGCATGATGAGGAACTACTCAGGTACCAGCAAACAGGAGAATCTTAACCTAGTTCGGATGGTCATTGAAGAACTGATTTTTAAGCTGAGGTCTGAAGGATGATTAGGACTTAGCCAGGCAAGGGGCCATAATCCAGGCAGAAAAAAACAGCTTGAGAAGAATTTAAGTGGAGAGAAGATAGCCTTGAGGTACTAGAAAACATTCGTTTGGCTGAAGTGTTGGATTTGAAGGGAGACTTAAGATCGACAAAGGTCAAGTTGTAAAATACTTTGAAGCCTGTATCGGGTTTCAGTTTGACTGCTAGTAAAAGATGATGACTTAAGATATTAAATAAATTTATTTGCACATATTAAAAAAAGTCCAAAGTACAGGCCTATATGGAAGCTCCATAGTTATTGAGCATCAGGCTCCTTTTTGGCTCTTTTTTGCTTAGCCATCTAAGGTACATGGTTTGTGTTCTCACTGATTCCTCATGTCTAAGATGGCTGTCAAAGCCTCAGCCATCATGACCTTGAATCTGGCAGAAAGCCAGAGAAGACATGGGGGATGGGCAAAGAGGACACAGCCAGATATCTATTCCCACTTTAAGAAGAAGCATTTTTGGAAGTTCTAATCAATACATCCACTTTCATCTCATTGGTCAGAACTTCATAATATGGGAAATGTTTCATGTGTAGATGCTTTATAGACATAGGGACAGCATTGTTTAGAAGAAAGAAAATTCTGGCCTTTGGGAAGACAATAACTTTCAAATCACTGAATTACCAATGTATCTGACTTCTGTACCACCTGTCAGACCTCTCAGAAGCACCCTGGCTATTGGGGAGGCTGGGATAGTCCTTTAGTAGGGCACACTGCTGTCTTGATAGAATCAGGGTTTTGTTACTAAGGAACAAGAGGACATTAGTCATTGGTTGGGTAACTAGCAGTTTACATGTTAGAGGCCACATTAAAGAGTTTGAATTTTATTGGGAGTAATGAAGGATTACAAGTGGTTGGATTTCCTTGTTAAAAAGCTAATTCTGGTTGCAATGTAGAGAATATACTGGAGGAAGATAGGCTCAAGACAGACAAATAACATAGTAATCCATGCAAGAGAGAACAGTGGCCCAGAAGATGATGATTAACTTAATTGGGTTGAGGCAGGGTATAAACAAATAAATGACATTATTCAGTAAATATTAAATGGGTTTGGCCAATTATCTCAGATGGTTAGAGTGCAGTGATAACACCGAGGTCAAGGGTTTGGATCCCCTTACCGGCCAGCCATCAAAAAATATAAAATAAAAAAATATTAAATGTAGGTATTTAACCTGTGCACGACACTGAGCATGGCCTTGTGGATGTAGTAGTGGCAAAAAATGACACAGTCCCTACTCTCATGGAGTTTACAGTCTAGTGGGGGCCCAAATGTAAAATTATGACTAGTGTTAGAATGGAGTTAGCCTATTCATAGAGGTTATGGGGGTGTCTCCCTTGAGGAAGTGGCATTTGAGCTAAGATCTGAATGATGAGTAGGGGCACACAAGGGGAAGGACAACTGGAAGGGCTCCTTGTGGAGTACTATGTGGAGGGGATCAGAGTGGATGCCTGGAAACCAGATGACTGCAGCCATCTAGATAAGAGATAATGGATTTGGTGGAGGTCGTGGGGATAGAGGAAAGTGGAAGGAATGAAGAGATTTAGGAAGCAAATTCCAAAAGATTTAATGGATGGGTGTGAGAGAGGACGGGGTCAAGGGTGCCCCCATTGTTTTTTCTTCCTGCACCAGGGTGATTTGGAGGGCTTTCACCCATATGGGAATTTAGGAGAAAACCAGGTTTGGGAAGAGGTCATAAATTTGGTTTTGGGCATGTTGAGTTGAGGTGACTTTGAGACATCCAAGAGCACATGTTGAGTAGGCATTTGGACCCATGAGTGTGGAATTTAGATGAGAGGATTGTGCTGGAAAAATAAACAGATGAGTTATCAGTGTGTAGGTGGTAAGTGAAGCCATGAGTGTGAATGAGCTTTCAAAGGGAAAGAATATTGAATGAAAGGAGAGGTTATAGGACCCAGCCTTAAGGAATATCAACTCATTTCTCACACTTAAAAAAATATTATTTAGGGGCCGGCCTGTGGCTCACTCGGGAGAGTGCGGTGCTGATAACACCAAGGCCATGGGTTCGGATCCCATATAGGGATGGCCGGTTCGCTCACTGGGTGAGTGTGGTGCTGACAACACCAAGTCAAGGGTTAAGATCCCCTTACCGGTCATCTTTCAAAAAAATATATATATATATATTATTTAACCTCTCTTCATACATCAAACACCACCCATGTGATCAGTGACCTTCAGCCTAAATCTTAAAGCTCTTTGTGCCCCCTAGACTGAGTGATAGGGCCGCAGTCTTCCTATAGTCCGGTCCTGCTTTCACCCCTGCAGTAGGCCATTGTAAGTGACTGTTCCTAAGTGCTTTTCCTAACTCTAGTGAGAAACCTGTGAGAGTTCCAGGGAAGTAGAAGTGTCCATCAACCTTTTCCTGTCTCCAGAAAGCATGTGGAGTGAATACCTTTTGTACAAAAGCCTCTGGATCCAAGTTGAGATCACTCATTAAGCTGGGCCAGGGCCCGGTCTCATGTTAACCTTTGGAATTTTCTGTGTTGCTTATGAGTTTGCTGCACACAGAAGGTATGGTCTCTGTCCTCTTGTGCCTTCTCCCTTTCCTTTAGAGTAGCAAGGCTCCACCTCCTGACTGGCGAGCCTTCTCTTGGGCTGCAGCCCATGACCCCCACAGCTCTGCTATGCAGGGTTTCTCAGCTCCTGAGATTACCCTGCTTCCCTCCAGGATGAACAATGGAAAGCTAGACTGGCTTGGTTGCTGTTAATATGTCAATAAATCTCTTAGTACCCAGGCACACAGTGCTAAAATTGTGGAGTTTGGGACAGGGAACTACAGCCCTCTCAAGAAATAGAATTAATTGTAAGCCTATGAGGAGCCTTCAGTTCAGAAGCTATGAGTTCCAGCCCTGCCTGGAAAAGTCTAGGATCAGCTGAGGCCCTAGAGCCACTTCCTGGTAAGGACAATGACCTCTCCTCCTGCCAAATCTCAGGGACTTGGCTGGCCTTCAAGGCCACCATCTCTAGCTGACTTTTTTTTTTTTTTTTTAAAAGATGACCGGTAAGGGGATCCCAACCCTTGGCTTGGTGTTGTCAGCACCATGCTCAGCCAGTGAGCGAACCGGCCATCCCTATATAGGATCCGAACCCGTGGCCTTGGTGTTATCAGTACTGAACTCTACCAAGTGAGCCACGGGCCGGCCTCTAACTGACTTTTTTTTGAGGCCACACAGTGCCCTTGGAGATGGATGATTTGGAGCTAATTATGAGTCAAGGAACCCAGGTTTTAGTCTCCAACTACATTGTGGCTTTCTGTCATAGAATAGACATCCTGACAGACTCTGGAAATGAGGGAAAAAGACAAACATCCTTGTAAAACTCTATGCTGTGAAGGAAATTGGAGGAACCACAGCTCAGGAGATTCCCTAGAAGGCTCACACTGTAGCAGTGCCCAGGAGTGCACAGAGCTCGACACTGAACAGCATGGCAGTGTATGGGGACAATATAGAATTGTGCTATGATGTTGTGTCGTTCATTTGTTCATTCATTCAGGAATTACTGAGCACCTTCTATGTGCTAGCCACCTTGCTCAGGCAACAGAAATACTAAGGTGACCAAGAGCTCTTTCAGGAGCAAACATGACCACAGATAATATAGGAAATATAATGTGATAAGGGCTGTAGCAGAAGTGCACAAAGGACTGTAGCCCACTAGAGAAGGTAAGCCTTCACTAGAGGTGGCTGGGTCTTGAATGATGGGAAGGCAATTTCTAAAGGAAACAGCATAAAGGTACAAAATAATCATAATCATAATGATGGCAGCTACCTTTTTAAAAAATTATTATTTTGAGGTTGATAGTGTAGACTGTAGTCTTGGTTTCATCACTCACTATGATCTTAAGAAATGATCTCAGTTTCTGTAATTCTGTTTTTTCATTTGCAAATGGAGATAATAGTATCTACCTAATAGGGTTGAGTAAATGTTATTAAGCACTTACCACATCCAGATCCTACATGTACATAATTTCTAAATTTTTTTTTTTTTTTTTTAAAGATGACCAGTAAGGGGATCTTAACCCTTGACTTGGTGTTGTCAGCACCACACTCACCCACTGAGCTAACCAGCCATCCCTATATGGGATCCGAACCAGGGCCTTGGTGTTATCAGCACCGCACTCTCCCGAGTGAGCCACGGGCCGGCCCATAATTTCTAATCTTAACAACAATGCTGACAGTAGGTTTCTCCATTTTGCAGATAAGGAAAAGTGGCACTTTGGTTGCTCATGCTCACATGGATTAAAGGTTAGCATGGGGATTTGAACCTATGTCTGTATGACATCTAAGCTCATGGCCTTTCTACTATTCCATGTCTAATGTAGGTAAAATGACGGCATAATGAGATAGAGACATTTTTTGGCAACTTCCTTTCTTGTTGAATGGGGTATATCATGGCAGACCTGCCTGTAACCAAATTTGGCTCTTCATAGAAGTATGGTTGTAGTTTTACCAAGAGACTGGTCACGAAGTCCTTCATGAATGTGTTCCCCATAGGGTAGGTGGAAAAATCAAAACCAAACCAATTTAACATTGGAACTCCTACAACTCAATAATAAAAGGGCAAATAAGCCAGTTAAAAAAAAGTTGGGGGGGAGGAGGTGGGCTGCAAAA